GGCCGGGGCTTTGTCCTTTGCAGATCCTTCCTGAGGGCCGGCTGCTCCGAGGTGAGCTGGAGCCATTTCTCTGGTCTGCCCCCACCAGCGTAAATCCCCCAAAGGCCTGCACGGTATCGGGACCTGCTTAGCCCAGACACTTCCATTCTCTGGCCCCACCTCCCCGGCCGGCTACACGCGCTCCCGCCAGCGGCTGGGTGTGGTTCTGCTCCGAGGTGAGCTGGAGCCATTTCTCTGGTCTGCCCCCACCAGCGTAAATCCCCCAAAGGCCTGCACGGTATCGGGACCTGCTTAGCCCAGACACTTCCATTCTCTGGCCCCACCTCCCCGGCCGGCTACACGCGCTCCCGCCAGCGGCTGTGTGTGATTGTGGTGTGGAGATGTGTGTGTTTGTGATGATGATTGTGATGTGGATGTGTGCGGTTGTGTGTGATTGTAATGTTGTGGACATGTGTGCAGTTGTGGATATGTGTGGTTGTGTGTGATTGTGATGTGGATGTGTGCGGTTGTGTGTGATTGTAATGTTGTGGACATGTGTGCAGTTGTGGATATGTGTGGTTGTGTGTGATTGTGATGTGGATGTGTGCGGTTGTGTGTGATTGTAATGTTGTGGACATGTGTGCAGTTGTGGATATGTGTGGTTGTGTGTGATTGTGATGTGGATGTGTGCGGTTGTGTGTGATTGTAATGTTGTGGACATGTGTGCAGTTGTGGATATGTGTGGTTGTGTGTGATTGTGATGTGGATGTGTGCGGTTGTGTGTGATTGTAATGTTGTGGACATGTGTGCAGTTGTGGATATGTGTGGTTGTGTGTGATTGTGATGTGGACGTGTGCAGTTGTGTGTGATTGTAATGTTGTGGACATGTGTGCGGTTGTGGACATGGGTGCACTTGTGTGCGAGTGTGATCTTATGGTCATGTGTGCGGTTGTGATGTTGTGCAGTGCGTGGCTATGTCAGGCGGTGCAGGCAAGATGATGGATGGGAAACTCACCATCCTGTCGTCCGTCATTCTGACAAATCTGAGGAGCGTTAATTGACTTTAATAGCCAGCGAACGACATCAGCAGCTATTCTGGCGCAGCTCGGTTAGTGGGCTGGGTTGGCAGGAGGGAGTCTGCGAGCGCTGCAGGCGGCCAGACAGGCGGCGTTCATCCAAGGGCTCCTGCTGCGACATGCAGCCACCTCTGGGGGCTGGGGCAGCCTCCCGCAGGGCCCTGCACGGCTCCCCTTTGTCACGCTGCAGGGCGTGGGGCGCGTGGAGTTAGAACGGCCGACTGCCCCGTCTCCTGCAGCGGCTGGGCACTCCGGGGGGGCCAGGCCCCACC